GGGGGGGGGGGGGGGGGGGGGGGGTGTTTGGAGTAGGTGGGTGGTGTTGGTGAGTAAGAATAGGAAAGGGAGAAAATGGAGAAGATATTGAGAGTCTTCTTTGGCTCTAACGACACCCTTCACTTCTCTAACCCTAATTATAATACTTTACCCAAAACCCATCATCTCTTTCTTATTCTCTCTTTTTCATCAACTCTTTTCCTCCCTCTTCTCAATTATATATTATCTTTATCTTTCCTCTTCGTTAATTCACTCTTTTTGTTTCTTCTTTTCTGCGAACTTAGGGCGGATGCTTTTCAATTTTGTGCCATTCACAAGGTATTTGCTTCTGTCCTCTTTTGGTTCATGGATATGTGCTGTGTACTCTTTTGCTGGGGCGTGTAATGGACTTTGCCTGTATTTGTTTGATGTTTTTATAAATGGGTCTGCTGTATTTTGTAAGGTCGATGTCAATTGCGTAACTTGAATGTAATTCGGTGCTTCATCTTATTGGGTAATCCAGTTACTGCCAAGTTTTGGGCAAAATTTAGGGCCATTAGTTCAAAAAACTATCAACTAACTCAGTTTTAAATTTGTTGGTATTGGCTATATGAATCATCTAAAGAGGCGGATCCAAGACTTGAACTTTATTGGTTCTGTATTTTAGGACACGACCTCAAGTGTTAGTATTTGGATTTTGAATTTCATTTTTGTGCATATTTAGTGGTTTGTGGGTTCTTAGGTACCCATATCTTAAAGCCTACATCCGTCCTTGATCCTTTGCATCTTTTTTTGGCTCTATTCAACTACTTTTTTATTTAGAGGATTCAAGTAATTTGACTATTTTAAGATGACAGTTAATATACCGCAACTCTCATTTATTCGTGCTTGGGATCAGCTATGCTTTGCATATAGGCGGAATTACTAAAGCGGTTAACTCTTTCTTAAAAAATCCTAAGCCATCTTGTTGATATATTGTCTTTGCACATAGGCAGTGTTTGTTTAAGGCCATTAATACATTCCTCAAAGCTCTATGTGCCATTATATTGATACTTGCATTTTATTGAGGAAGTTGTGGATATTCAAATTGATTTCATTATCATGTTTCTTAGTTAGCTATACTTTATCGATATGATAGTTTTCCTTACCCTTTTGTTTGTTGGGTTCATGTATACTGCATGTATGGGTGTTGCATCCCCTGGATACATTAAATTAAATGCTGAATGAACTTCTTGTTAATCGTTTTTATTTATTGATGTTTCTCTACATGAATGAATTAGCAAATAAAGGATATGTCTTTGAATGCATGCAGTTGCCAGTTTGGTGCAGCAATTACCAAACTCATTTAGCAACTGTCGTCTTTTTGCCGTGATTAGTACACGTGTTGCTGGTGGGACCTACTCTTTATGTATGTCATGGATGAATCTGGTGGCACTCGATTTGAAGGGATCAATGCTACTGTTAGAAAGAAAAGAAGCCACATGTTGCGGCGACCTAGACCAGAGATACTGGTTTTTCATGAAAGCCGTGATCAGTCACCCTTAACACTAGTTTCAGATGATGTTGGTAGGGTTTCCAGTGATGAGAACACTGGTGATGCCGATGCTGGACGGAAAATGTTCAACCTTAATCATTGCATGTCTAGAGGCTCTGCTTCGAGAGTGGATGAGGACTACACTGTTAAGAAGAATAAGGATACCGGATCTAGCTTGTTATACAGTAATGGAGGTCCAGGAGATGATACATATTCCCGGAAGGGCTCCTCTCTTAGGAAATCAGGAACTGTTCAGGATGGCGTTTGCAATGATAACAAGCTGAAAAAGGTTAAGCTGAAAGTTGGGGGTGTGACGCGCACCATTCAAACCAAAACCGATTCTCATGGTGCATATGGTGGTGGTTTGTCTACTAAAAGTGCTCGAGCCTTAGGTGCCTCGCTGCCACGGCAGAAACTTGCCCAGCAGGTTTATTACATGCTTCTTCTCAAGCAGTTAATTATTTGGATTATCTAAACCCACTTGAATTTTTAATTGTGCTTTGAACGTAGTCTCCCTCATAATTATGGTTGGTTTGATCATTTGGAAAAGAAGGTGAGCCGCATAACATTTTTAAGTTTCGCTGCTATACTCGCTCCTGTCTAACTTCTCAAAACAGGGAAAGAAAAACATGTAGATAGATGTTGTTGCGTTATTATAGGTTTATTAGGGAACAAAACAGTGAGGTGCATAAGAATCAAATGTTTCAAGGATGAGTTAACAACTACGTAATAGCTTTCCCCTAAAGTATTAGCAAGAAAATCTGGTTGTTCACTTCATGGAAAACCAGAGGGTTTAGGTTACCCCTTACCTTATGTTGGATACAGTTTTGGAAAACTAATGCCAAACTTTTGAAGATGCAAATCGTGATTAATCTGAAGCCGGTTTACCGGAGAAAGAAATCTATTTTATTGCTTGTAAATCTTTGGCATTTATTTTTGGTCAGATTATCATTGTAATATACTCTCAATGCTGTCCAATTAACCTTTTCCTCTATATTTTAGGACACTTCGAGTGAAGACGGTCTTTCGGAAAAGAAAAGTGAGTCGCAAGGAAATTTGTGGAGAGATTCACCAAGAGGCACTTTTGATGCTGGCAAAGACAATATGGGGAAGACACCAATGACAAATGCCTTCCAAAAAAGAGGTGACAAGTCAGATCCAACTCGTAAGAGTAAGAGGGCGCCGAAAAGGCGTGTCTCGGAGGGGTTTGATGAGGATGACGATGATGATGAAATTCGATACTTGGAGAAGCTTAAAACCTCAAAGTTTGCAGGATATAAAGATTTTGAGGAGGAATTGACCAAGAAAAGAAGTTTTTCCCGTGTTTCAAAGGTTTGTAAGTATGAAAAGGATGAAAATGTGGGAAGTTCAAGGAAAGATGTAAGGAAGAAATCAGAAGAAGGTCCTGAGGACACTGATTATGAGGTGGAAGAGCTCCTGTCTGATGGTGAGCCTGAAGGAAGAAAGAAGCAGAAACAAAGGAAGGAATCCTCAGATTCACCAATTGAAACGATGAGAGGAGAAATGACTCTTACAACACGTCAACGAGCTCTCCTATCTAGCAAAGATTCTACTGCTTCTTCTGTGAGTCAAATTGAGTTCCCTGATGGTTTACCACCGGCGCCACCTCGAAGTAATAGACTGTAGTTACTTATATGTTCCACTCTTATTTCTTTGCTCTAGAACGTTTTCTGATTAACAGATTTGTCTTGCCATCTTTGCTTTTTGACAGAGCAAAAGGAAAAGCTCACAGATGTTGAGCAGCAACTGAAGAAAGCGGAGGCTGCTCAGAAACGTAGAATGCAAAATGAGAAGGCTGCGCGTGAATCAGAGGTTTGCCCTTGTTCCTTTTTCCTTCTTACTGTATGTGTGCTCTTCTAAGGTCATATGATGATGAAGTGAGCATAACTGTTTGGAATTTTCAGGCTGAGGCAATTAGGAAAATTCTAGGTCAAGATTCAAATAGGAAGAAGCGAGAAGATAAAATAAAGAAGCGGCAGGAAGAGTTGGCACAGGTAACCTGCTTGTTGATAGGTAGATTGCTTTTCATAGCGATGTTATGAAGCTGACAATTAATTGACGTTCTATCTGGCAGGAGAAGGCTGCCAAAGAGCAGATGCTTGCGAAAAGCACTATCAGAGTGGTTATGGGCCCTACTGGGACTGTTGTGACATTTCCTGAAGATATGGGTTTACCTCATTTTTTTGACTCTAAACCTTGCAGGTAAGGGTTTTTACATCCCACCTTTTTCTTGTCCTCTGTGGAATTGGAGACAGGAGGTGGAACCTGGATATCTTGGATTGCTACATGAATGAAGTGCTATAAAGTTGCTAAAGGTTCTGATTGTGTTTTTATTGCCAATTGCAGTTACCCTCCTCCTCGTGAGCAATGTGCTGGGCCTTCCTGTATGAATCCATACAAGTACCGTGATTCTAAGACAAATCTTCCTCTTTGCAGTCTCCAGTGCTACAAGGCAATTCATGAAAACACAGGCTTGAAAGCCTGCTAAAAATTGTTAACATATGCTCTTGCATATTGTGTAGATTCAAGCAAGGATAATGAGGATATCTTTTCCATATATAGGAATCAAGACTAGCTATATCTGGGAACAAATTGTGTACATGATTTTTTGTTGCCTCATAAATGTATGCCACCCTGCCCCTAGTCCATTTGTCATTCCTCCTTTTCTATTTGTTTTTCCCTATTTGTATATTTTTCTAATCATTGGTCAACCTCATTGCTGCATAGTCATGCCATTTTTGGTGATTGTTGCCTTTTCTTTAGGAGTAAATTATTTGGGGAATGTCAAATTTTATCTTGTGTTTTTCTGTTGGAAGTTTTTTCAAAGGATGTGTTCACTACTTCAGCAGAAAGTGTATCTGTCTGAACCTCTGATAAAAGCTTATCCCAACCCTCTAAAATGTGAATCACTGAATGACTTCTAGTAATTAGTTAGACCTCAATAGTTCTACTGTGTGATGCTATTAAATGTTTTTGGAGTGAGAGTAAGTGTTTAAGAGGAGAGCAGATATCAGCAAGAATTGTTGCTTTACAATTAAAAAGAAAGAGCTATTCCTTCTTCTTGGTTGCTATTTACACTTGTAGTTTGTGAAATTCTTTATCAGCCATCTTCAGAAACAATTTAAACCTAATTACTCTTTGTAAGCTTCCTGCTAACACTTTTTTCAGATATTCTCCCTTTTAAGTTGTAAGTACGCTTTCTCTAGAAAAAAAACTCACAGTTCGTAGCCGAGGCAACTTGTTACTTGTAAGCAACAAATACTTAAGTAGACTAATTGATTCAAGGCCAAATAATTCGTATACTGCTATTGAATGTAGTCATATACTGTCACTGTATGTGAAAAAGGTACTTCCATTAGCAGATAATATCCTCTATGGCCCATTAGCGCTGTGTCTCGTGGATCGTTCACAATTGGAATTTTCATTGGTATCTAAACCTTTTAGCAATGCAGATTCCAGCATAAGAACCGATACCTATTTTAAACCATTACTATAATGCAGCAAAATGCCAAAGAACCAACATCTGCAGGGCACGCATCTATTTGCCTATTATAATATAATATATTTCTTATTCCATGAAAAAAGTGTCTACCTTTGGACATTATCCTCGTGTCTGCTATTGCTCGCAAATATGTGCAAAAGAAGACACTAGTCACTAGTGTGTGGTGCTGTGGTCCCAAAAGAAACTAAATGTGCAAAGTATCATATATGTCCCTCTGGTACCCAAGGGTGCATCCTAAAAAGTAATGAAGTGAAAACTATAGAAATCAGAGTTTTAATTTCAACTTAGACAAAAAAAAAACGATAATAATTTTTTCTAAACTCTGACGGACAGAGTTATCCATTGCATGTGCTGAATAAGGTAAAATGAAATAATTGAGGGCAAGTTTGGCACAAATACCGCCATTATAAAAAGGGTATAATATGTCCCCGGTATCCAGTTTTAAGGATATGACGAGAAGTTTATAAATGTTTTGAGTTGTTCACTCATGATCTTAAAATTTCAAGTTGGATGTTTGATTCTATCAGCATAGCATCAAGAATAAACAAATATTCTGAGTTCGAAATTTACTAGTATTATTATATATCAACAAAAATATTTTCGCGCACAGAAAAAGAAAATCAGGTTAACACAAAGTGTTGCAAACTTAAAACGAAAAAAAAGAGAAAAATGAAAGTGTCCATCCTATTATAAAAAACAAAGCAGCGAGCTTCCTTTACATGGCTACAAATGAAATACTATTTGAGTCTCCTTCTGATGATATCATACTTACAATGTGCCAAATGAAATGATTTGACCTCAAGCATTGACAAGAAATTCACAAACTTAAGATATCACTACTACCTGTCAATGAAACCTATCTGAACTGTGATCTCCGCATTTTTACTAAGAGGGATCTACAAGGATTGTCTCTTCAAAAATGCCTGCAAAGGAAGTAAAAGATGGAGGTAGTTGTAACTCTCCTAGTTCATCATAAAAGTCATTTTCTTCTGACAATTCTGATTTTGGAAACTTCATTAGCTGAGGGTAAGAAAGGGGCAGAAAATCATCATATGAAATTGTTCCCAAGAATTTATCAGTGAATTGATTCTCTTCTTGCTGGACATGTATGCCTTGGGAAATGCTGGTAGTACTATTAAATGGGGATTTGCTGTAATGGAAGCTTTGTGAGTCATCATCATTGTCTTCGAGGGACATGTGTCGATCCGTTATTGGTTCTTGATCTTGCTGTAGAGTCATGGCAGTATCTTGTGTAACAGGATCAGTGTCTTTGTTAGGGAAATTTGGACCTGGATGATTATGGGTGGATGTGTATGTAATGATGAACAAGGATGAATCTGTGCTGGACCTTTCTACTTGTTTTTTAGCTGAACAACCCTTTGAGCTGCTGCATTTGTAGTAACCCCTGTATCCAAAATGATCACTGCATTTTTAGTGAATTCTTCACACGTAAGTAAGGATCTCAAAAGCATAGGCAACTAAAAACACTCCAAGATATGCACACAGGGAATCAAGGCAGGGTACATATGATCAATAGCAGTAGTGAAGTCAGAATTTTCATTATGGGACAACAACAATAACCCAGTAATAATCCCACTAATGGGGTATGGGGAGGGTAGAATGTATACAGGCCTTACCTCTACCCCGAAAGAATAGAAAAGCTGTTTCCGGGAGATCCTCGGCGAGACAAAGAATTTTCATTAACGGAGTCAAAATATAAAAAAATAAACTCAGGAAGCAGTCAAGTTGAGTCAATATATATTATAGATACATAAAAAAAGATTTGACACCCCTTGAATACATATAGCTCCGTCATTGATCAGGGACGGGGCAGAGGGGTGCAAGGGGTCGGAATCATCACAGCCATTCTGAACTCATCAACTATATATCGGGGATTACCTCCGCATGCACACTAGAGACTTAGCCCTGACATAAACATGGGCAGATGCAACACAAATTCAACAGGTTCAACTAAACTCAATATATTTTTACATTGGAATATAAAAATATTGAATTCATCAAGAATTCAACAGATTCTGCAATCTATATCTGGGATTACAGTGTATTTACTAATATATATATATATTATATATATATATATATATATATATATATATATATATATATATTTATTTAGTTTTAAACCCAAAGTTGCAAATGCCCAATGATTCAACTAATGAGAATATAAATATTGAACTTATCAAGTTTAAATTTTAGATAAACACTGAAAAATGGAAGCTTTAACAAAAGAACAGTTAACAGATTTAGAAGGGGAAAAAAATAATAAATGCACCTGGGATAAGGGGATCCTTTGATGGGTTTCTGTCCATATTTTCTCCAGCTCCAACAATCTGAAGGAGCCCCTTCATTCTTCTGCTTTATAGCATTTGCTTCCATTTGCACTGTGATCACAACTTTCTGAGTCATCTTCCTAACATGAGCACATTCACAGCTGTTAGGAAAGAAAAAAGAATAGAGTCTCCTTTTATGTTTACATACATAATTTCTCTAAAGTCAGGTAACACAAATATGTGTTCTAATTTAAAGCCTTATGAATTGAAAGTGAACTGAATCACCTCTTTTTGGGGGCAACAAACTCTGGTTCAAGCAGTCTTGAAGTTTTAGACTCTGATTTTGGTGGCCTACTTTTACCCATGACTAAATGATCTTCCTTCTGCTTTCTTGTTTTCTGTTTTTGGGATTAAAAAACTTCCTTTTTCCTTCACAGGATAAACAAGGGGACAGTTAAGGCGAAGGAAATGGAGCTGCAGTGAGAACAATAACAAGGGAAGTAATGGAATAGATATTAGGGAAATCTCCAATTGATTAGGAGAGAGAGAGAGAATGAGAAAAAGAAGCAAAGGGATGAACTAGAGAGATGACAAAACTACACGTTATACAAGTTGTTTTCACCCCATCTTTATCACTCATTAATTATAGAGCTACAACTCCACTCAACTATAACTGTGCCAATATGGAATATTGATTCATTTTCACCCTCCCCACTATCCTCTTTAATCATAAAACTACTCTATATTTGCTCCTTTTATCTAGAACTAGAATACGAATATAATATGACGGCTCAATTTTTTTTTTCATATTTACTTTTTTTTTTTTTGAAGTATAACATATTTATCATAATTAATTTTATCTTTTATAAAAAAAAAAATACAATTATTTCATATTTGAATAGTTCTTTTATCTAGGGAGAAAATTTTTGGACTTCAATAAATTGAGAATTCTTATACTCATTTAACAACATTCACAATGTAGGCTTAAGGCATTTAAGAGTCTTATTTAAGGGAGAAAATTTGTAAGATAAGTGTTAACCTGACACTTGTGTGTGTCTTTTTGTAAGATCGTTCTCTTGATATTAGGTCAATTGTTAAATATTTATATATCTTTTGGTATATTAACACCTGATTATTTCGATCGTAACACATTTATCACTCGGGACAGAAAGATTTTCGGTTTTGACGCTCGAACCTTTTTCGGTTTGTGAAGCTCGAACCTTAATTAAAAATAAAGATATCTCGTCAACAAATCAAGATTACTTTGCCTGTGTGGATATATTATATTAAATCTGAAAATAATCAATATTTGATGTTTAGTATTTTAGAAAAGAAGTAATTGAAAGTTAACATCTCATGCATTCGTTGGGAACTCCAAAATCTCTGAATTGAGGTGCAAATCCTTGATAGAGTCGCCATCGCCCATCAGCCCAATGCCCAACCAGTGGCGGCTTTGCTGTTTTTAATTTTGTGGTGCCACAAATTCCAAACTCCTTTATGGTAGTTTTACTTTTCTCGTAAAACTAATAATTCTCTAAATCTAAGTCTATCTAGACCCGCACAGGCACTGCTCTTCCAAATATAGGGGGAGAGGTTTGGGGACCCTACGTATTAGCACTTTTTGATAAAAAATACTTTTTTAAATAAGTTGATTTTAGAAGCCGGACCAAACGAGTTATTAGAACTTGTTCTTGCAATAGATAGCCACTTTTAAGTTAAAGAATGTAACTCCAAACTTGATTGCAGTATTAATGTAAATGATTTAACTTATATATATTGACAATATAATTTTTTTTACGTATTTATGTATATTTATCCGTCAAAGAAAGTTATTTTACTGTATTTTTAGATCAATCATATTTGATTACTATAGACATTTTAGGTTATCTTAATCTCATAGCATAAAAATGATACACTTTCAATGTACAAAAATTAAGCTCCGGGGTCGTTTGGTTGCTGGTTGGGTTGTTCATAAAAAACCGAAAAATCGAACCAAACCGACTAAAAAAACCGATACTTTTTAGATTTGGTTTGGTTTTAGTTTTAAATTTTAAAAACCGATCAAATTTGGTTTGGTTTTGGTTTTTAATAAAAAAATAACCGAAAAAACCGAACCAAACCGACTATAAAAGTAGCTATATAAATTTATTATTACACCTATATATANTTCCAAAGAGCAATTAGTTTGATAGTGTTACGTTAAAAATGTAGTCGCCGAAATATGTGTTTGGTAGTGTATGTCTCATATTTAAGAAAAAACCGATAAATAATCGAAAAAACGAAAAATCGACAAAAATCGAATCGATAAAAAACCGACTTAATTGGTTTGGTTTGATTCCAATATTTGAAAAATCGACTTACTTGGTTTGGTTTCTTTTTAGGGAAAAATCGACCCAAACCGAATCATGAACACCCCTAGTTGCTGGTTAGAGTTATGCTGATATTAGTAATGTAGGACTTAGTTATGCAGGGATTAATTATTTTGTTATGCATGATTTAATTATGAAGGAATTAATTATGTAAGGATTATTAAAGCAAAGATTAGTAATTTATGAATTTGTAATGTAGAGATTATTTTTTGTTAAATATCTACTTTATTTTAATTATACAATGTGTAATTTAAGATATATATGAGGATTTTTTAGTCATTTGATTGTTTAATCCATGTATTACTAATATATGTATTAGTTATTCCATATTCTACCTTGCATAAATAATACATAAATTTGTTGCATAACTTATCCATGTATTACTTATAACCCAATAGAAAAAACAATCAAACATAATACTCCTATTAGTTATACTGACTTTTGTGCAAAGTAACTAAAGGCTACTAAATATGGTATTAATTATGTTACTCCTAATATATAAATAATTTACCGTGTAACTAGCTACCAAACGATCCCGTATTTCTCTGAACCAAGCAAAAAGATGCCAAAGCAATATATAGACACACAGCGCATAGCACCAATTACTACTTTGCAAGGGGGATAAGTGTTAAGAGTAATGGATTTAACTTAATTATATTAGATACCCCATAGCATAAAGAATTAACTTTTTTCCCACCTTTATTTGGTAGTATAATTTTTTCTCTTTTCAAGGCTACAACTACTACTTTTTGAATTTTTCTTTTTAACTGTCAATGTAATTTAAACCCTTCTTAATAGTCAGCTTTTACAAAACATTTTGCTATTATTGGTGCCTTTGCACCTGTAGTCTCCACGAAAGATATGGGGAGTGCCTAGCTGCTAGCTAACTTGACTAAGTAGTAAATAAGGTGACATTTTTCTAGACACCAGAATATGCCTAATTCTCATTACAAAAACACTTTAGGATTCATTAACCAAATATTCATATCCTTGGTGTTTGGAGTACTTGAGGTTTTTCGTAATGTATACGGTCGAAGCCGAGCTCGACTTCAACTTGCTAGATTGGGTTTGGAACATGGTGATCACGGACCGAAGATCGACCCCGAGTCTCACTGAGCTAGAACCCGAGGTCGGAAAACCTGCCTTCGAGAAAAATTGAGTCCGGTGTCGGCCTTAGCCTCGAACGAGCTCGAGGATTACTAACCGAAGACCGAAATATCCGCGACCGGACGGATATTACGGCGAGAATCTCGGCACGTATCAGCAAGGAACCAGTAATCAACAAATCAAGAGATTTTTACCTTATATAGAAATGTACCTAGAATATGACTCCTCTATTATATAAAGGGGGTCTGATAATTCATTAAAAATACCGTAACACGTATCACAAAATAATATTTTTAGTTCTCATTATCTTATTATTCTGTTCTGGCATCGATAAAAGTATTTCTGACTCGAGCGTGACTAACCTTCAAGGCTAAGATTGTTCAACTTGTGTGGTTTGCATTTATTTTTGCATTGCTTATTTCAATATTAATCTAATTTCTCGTTTTGTATCAAGTTAAATCACGTATCCTTAAAACTACGTACAAATTCAATTGTTATCCAATTTTGAGGGTAAACAGTTTGGCGCCCACCGTGGGGCTAAGGATAATAGTGGTTATTTGATACGAATCTCCATAACACATACTACTTTACTCTTGCTCTTTGAAGTGTCTTTGATTCCAGGCTAGAATAAAAAATGTCGAACTCTCAATCAGCACCCCTGCATGTTGACAACGAGTCCGGTCATCAAGGTGAAAATAACAACATAGCGCCCGGAAACGAGGTACCACCTGCTGATCCCATTAGAATTCTGATCGCAGACCCGATTGATGCTAACTCACATGTGGCTATCGATGCAAACTTGCCTACCGACCCCGAAAATAGCGTTCGCGGTGGAGCCCGATCGGCAACTCGAAACATACAAAATGTTGAAGAAGACGGGATTAGTCTATGGTTGATCTTCGAAATGTTGCAGGCTCAATAGGTGTCAATAGCTCAATTACAGAACCAAAGCCGTGCACCGAGCAGGGTTGAGCCCTATCTACCCCGGGAAGTCACCCATAGGGATGAACCGGTCATAGAAAGGTCAAATAAACATGAATCGGGGACTAACTCCAAGATTATAAAAATGCTCGAGGAGCTGACAAAGAGGATAGAAGCAGGGGAGAAGAAAATCGAAGCTAACGACAAAAAGGTGGAGACCTACAACTCCAGGGTAGACCAAATCCCAGGAGCACCTCCCATATTGAAAGGACTGGATTCCAGGAAGTTCGTGCAAAAACCTTTTTCTCCGAGCGCGGCTCCGAAGCCAATCCCTAAAAAATTCCGTATGCCTGAAATACCTAAGTATAACGGAACGACCGACCCAAACGAGCATGTGACCTCTTATACATGTGCCATCAAAGGGAACGACTTGGAGGACGACGAGATCGAGTCTGTTCTGCTGAAAAAATTAGGGGAGACACTGTCAAAGGGAGCTATGATATGGTATCACAATTTACCTCCTAATTTTGTTGACTCATTTGTTATGCTTAAAGACTCTTTCGTAAAAGCATATGCTAGTGCCATCAAGGTCGAGACTAGGAAATCAGACCTGTTCAAAGTCAAACAGAGGGATAACGAGATGCTTAGGGAATTCGTGTCCCGGTTTCAAATGGAACGAATGGATCTGCCGCCGGTCGCTGATGATTAGGTTGTTCAAGATTTCACTCAGGGACTCAATATTCGAAACTCGGTGTCTTCAAAGCAGCTGAAGCAGAACCTGATAGAATACCCGGCCGTTACATGGGCCGGCGTGCATAACCGGTATCAATCAAAAATCAGAGTCAAAGATGATCAACTCGGGGTCCTTTCGGGGTCTGTCTATCCCGTCAAAACCCTTGACAGAGTCAAGAGAGACATCGATCGTGAACCGAGGCCAAACAGGGATCGGTACCATCCATATAATGGAGATCGGAGAAGTAGTGGGTCCGGGTGAAACTCCATGAGAAACGAAAGGAGAAATGATCGTGGTCAAGACAACCGGGGTCTCACGACCAAAAATGGCTTCGACAGGTCTGTCGGGCCTAAAGAAGCACCGAGGCTATCGGAATACAACTTTAATGTCGATGTTGCCGCCATTGTACTAGCTATCGGGCGCATCAAAGATACCAAATGGCCTCGGCCTCTACAGTTCGATCCAACCCAAAGGGATCCTAACCAGATGTGCAAATAT